GTTAAAATATGGTACTTGTTGGTCCCTGCCTGGCGCTCGGCATTAATGGGTACAGCAAGGACTGGTCGGCTCGGAGTCAGTATAATGTGTCTGAGTTGGGTATTCATGCTTCACTGCGGCATGGTATCTCAGTGGGCTAACACTATATACCAGCTTAAGTCTGGGCTAGTACAAGCAGCCACACATACACATACACACACGCATGCACGTCGTCATATGAGCGAAATATTCTCAAGCACGACGTTAAACCCAATTTCATCTCACCTCACCTCACATCACGACTAACCAACAGCCACGACTAGTACCACAACTACTGTCCCGATTTCAACGATGACTACTACAAACACATTCCAGATACAGTGGAAGCCCTCTAATCCGGCATTCGTTGGGACCGGCAAAAATGCCGGTATAACAGTCGTGCCGGATTATAGAACCTTTCCCTTTTCAACCTTAGAATGATCTTCCAAACAATGTGTTGATAGTCATCATATTTAGAAGATAAACATACTGTGTTGGAAAATCAGAGGTATATAACGTGCTTATATGCTTCTAAATTACTTTAATTAACCAATCACAATCCAGTATTTACTGAAGTCATGGTAGAATCATGTACATCAATCAAAGCGATGGGATGCGATAGCGTGCAATCAAACAAATCCGTTGACTTGAACAACAGATCCAGTTAGTGGACTTTGCAACCGGCATAGGTTGCCTGGTAACTGTATGAATACCCGGATTTCACATGTCCGACCTGTCAAAGGACATGTCAACATGAGGTGTCGGTTGTGGCATTGATCCAAGACCAGTGATGACAATAAGCTCACACTGAAACACAAGGATCCCATCTGCCAATGATTGTCCTCGGGGGTGACCATTGTTTTGGTTTAACTAGGTGTTGATGTTGTCGTGTCCCGACGTTGATAATCGCTGCTAACGTTGTCTGCCTCAAATTCGAATATTTACAGACCTCCACCATATGTCTAATGGATGAAATGGCCCTTAAACAGCATTGACTTGCTCCCCACTCAACCTGACACTTCAGTTGATGACTGAATTTACAGAACACATTATGCAGTTAATTGAAGTCATCTGTGCATTGCGATACGTATATTGACCGTAACTGTTCAAGCAAGCATTCCAAACTAGAGATATTTGCGGATACATAAATCCTTGAACGTTGGAGTCTATCACTGTTTTGTGTGTGAGTGAGTGTAGTTTTACGCAGCCTTAGCAATATTCTCGCAATCTCACGGTGCCAGATACCAGAAATAGGCTTCACACATCGTACCCATGTCGGGAATCGAACCCGAGTCTTCACCGTGACGAGCGAACACTTTAACCTCAAGGCTACCCCACCGCCCCATCAACGTTTTGAGGAACCCACATCATATTTTGTTTAATATTTTGCTTCAAATTATTTGTATTAAAATTTTCGGAAACACAATATCACATGTATTATATCACAGCAACTGAATATCTGTGATATGAAATGGTTGGTCAATTACTATAGTACACGTAAAGCCGCAATGTGTTGCATTAAAGACAGTGTATTTGCACAGAGCATGTCCCCTGTACACAGCATATGTTTTTCTCGTTCCTGAGATGTAACTGTTTCAAAATATATTGATACATGGTGGAGGACACAAAGCAATTCTTCGAGGTCACCGTGACCTTAGATATCATCCGCGTCCTGGGCTTTCATGGCGTGCGGGTTGGGCTTGTAATCTCTGGCTTCGCCTTGGCAGCACAGCCGCTATTCATGCAGGCCGAGATAAAACTGGTGCAAGACTTCCGTTACTCCACCTCAGAAACCTCACAAGTAACAAACCAAGCAATTCTAAATGCTACGGAACATCACATGCATGAGAAAATGTGTAAATGGTGACAGGTTTCGTCATATATTGAAAGGAAGTATTCTTTCCATGATACGTCCAAGACGTTTTGATCTCTGTTTGCAATTCAGATTAAACCCTCAAACCTAAAAACACTTTCATCAGAGCAGACTTCCACACCTTTGGAGTCCTTTTCGACCACGATCAGCGGAGTCAATACATACCTGTGACTTAGGACCCGTACATCCGGGTATTTGTGCCACCCGCCTGCTACAGCAACAGAACATTGTCCGGCCTTCCTCGGGTGTTGTGCCAGGTTGTCCTCGGGTGGTGTGCCAGGTGTTCCCTTAGTGTTGCGCAGGTGTTCCTCGGGAGATGTGCCAAGTGTTCCTCGGGAGATGTGCCAGGTGTTCCTCGAGTGTTGTACATCTTGTGGTGCGCAAGGTCTTCCTCGGGTGGTGTATCAGGTGATCTTCGGGTGGTGTGTCAGGTGTTCCTCGGGTGGTGTGTCAGGTGTTCCTCGGTGGTTGCTAGGTCTTCCTCGGGTGGTGTGTCAGGTGTTCCTCGGGTGGTGTGTGAGGTGTTCCTCGGGTGGTGTGTGAGGTGTTCCTCGGGTGTTCTGTGTACAATCAGCAATTAGCTGCATGAGTACGGACAGGAGGTGTCGAGACCATGTGCTGGTGTCTGACTAGACTATCAACAAATCTCTGAAATGGACATATTTTGTAGAAAAAATGTCATAGTGAAAAAATTAAAGTATAACGAAAAGGAGCCCTGAGACTTTCTTCATTTTCAGAGACCCTGAAGCTGTAGAAATCTGGACTTGCCACATTTTTCTAGACTTGCGTGGGCTTTCTTGGATATATCTGCTTCAGGGTCTGTATAGCAGACTAGTGTCTGACGTCAGACACGACTTTTACCTGGGATGGCCTAAAAGTCGGGCCGGGCCAAGGCGGGCCAAATCTATTATTGGCTAATAAACCCATTAACGAAAACCATGCCTACAATTAATCAATGCAACATACACTCATGACAATAATGATCAATCGGAAGCCACAAACGCGTACCATAACAACTTTATTACAATTAAATCGGCTAATATCCGGGAAAACGAGAAGTCCGTGACCTGCCTGACCGTGGTTACGTCTAAAAGTGGAATCGTTAAACGAAACGGGATTTAAAACGTATAAATACTTAAGCCAATTCCGATAAACATTTCCGTCGGCCCGAAAATGGTTTTACATCTATATCCAATCACATACCACCCCATAAATTCACTATTCATCGTATTTAAAGCACGCCCACATTTAAATGATACGATCTCTTCCCCACACTCTCAACATTATCTCGGCCACAATTTTCCGCCCGGCTTGGCCCGAGCCGTCAAAAGCAACTTAAACGTAACACGTATCTTGAATTGTGTTTAATTCCATAGACTGGTATTATATCTACCTAAATATCGCTTTGTAATGTTATAAAATGCAACATGTAAAGATAACTGCTCCGTTAAAATGAAGCCCTTTTCTCTCTCCATTCACAACATAGCCTCAATCAAAAGTGTTTGGTCTCAGTTCAGCCCGACTTGGCCCGTGCTGTCAAAAACAACTTAAGCCTCACACATGTATCTTGAAATGTGTTTAAATCCATAGATTAGCATTATATCTACCTAAATATCACCGTGTGATGTTATAAAATGCCACATGTAAAGATAACTGCTCCGTTAAAATGAAGCCCTTTTTTCTCTCCATTCACAACATAGCCTCAATCAAAAGTGTTTAGTCTCTGTTCAGCCCGGCTTGGCCCGTGCTGTCAAAAACAACTTAAACCTGACACATTTATCCTGATTTGTGTTTAAATCCATAGATTACTATTATATTCACCTAAATATCATCACAGATTCGCTCAGCGTAGTATTTGAGGTAAAACGTTGCTCAAAGTGAAGCCCTATTTTCTATACATTCTCAACAAAGACAGAGTATCACAAGCTTCCGGTCCGGCTTGGCCCGTGCTCTCAAACGCACCTTATACCTCAGAGATGTATCTTGAAATCTGTTCAAATCCATAGATTGGTATTATATCTACCGAAATATCACTTTGTAATCTTATCAAAGGTAACATGTAAAGATAAGATCATATGAAAATAGGCTGCTACTGCCAGGCTCGACCAAGAATATCCTGTATTCTGAACCACTAAAAAAAACCCCACCTCTTTCAAGCATTTCATGTCATATAATTGGGTATAATATCTTCTAAAAAAATTTAAGTTAATTTTATGTGTAAATCATATCACGAATAGCTTCAACCTGCCATCTGTAACTGTACTAGTATATATATATACGTTATGAAGAAACCGTGGAGTAATCAATAACACTGAAAGCCCCTGAACGGTAAATAAGGGCAACAATGGAGTAAGTTAATTGAATCACAACACCTAGCTGATTGCAATAAGACAAGGGACAATTAAGCAAGCAGGTTACAGGTGAAATTAACAGGTGTATTCATTTCTTTAGCCCGCACAGAGCTCGGATTGAACACTGGGCTTCACTTTAAGCAACGTGTTAGATTCAAATACATGTACAAAGCTTTGAGCCTCAATAAAGAGGTATTTAGGTAGATGTAATACCAATCTATGGATTTAAACACATTTCAAGATACATCTGTGAGGTTTAAGGTGCGTTTGAGAGCGCGGGCCAAGCCGGACCGGAAGCTTGTGATACTGTGTCTTTGTTGAGAATGTATAGAAAATAGGACTTCACTTTAAGCAACGTGTTTGCTTCAAATACTACGCTTTGAGACGTTTTTAGGTAGATATAATACAAATTTATGGATATAAACACATTTATATAAGATACATGTTTGAGGTTAAGGTCGTTTTTGACAGCACGGGCCAAGTCGGGCTGAACAGAGACTAAACACTTTTGATTGAGGCTATGTTGTGAATGGAGAGAGAAAAGGGCTTCACTTTAACGAACCAGTTATCTTTACATGTGGCATTGTGTAACATCACACGGTGATATTTTGGTAGATATAATACTAATCTATGGAATTAAACACAAATCAGGACATATGTGTTCGATTTAAGTTGTTTTTGAGAGCCCGGGGCAACCGGACCGAACGCTTGGGATACTGTGTGGTTGTTGAGAATATGTAGAAAAGATAGCTTCACTTTCAGCAACGTTTTTGCTTTAAATACTACGCTTTGAGACTCTGTGAAGTGATATGTACGTAGCAATAATACTAATCTATGGAATTACATACAAATCAGGACATATGTGTGGGGTTTAAGTTGTTTTTGACAGCACGGGCCAAGCCGGACCGAAAGCATGACTGTGTGATACTGCGTGGTTGTTGAGAATGTATAGCAAATAGGGCTTCACTTTAAGCAAGGTGTTTGCTTCAAATACAACGCTTTGAGACTCTATGAAGACGTACTTAGTTAGATATAACTCTATTCTAGAGATATAGACAGAAATCAGGATTCATGTGTGATGTTTAAAGTGTTTTTGACAGCACGGGCCATGTCTGGCTGAACGGTGGGCACACAATAAGCTCACTGGGATAAAAAGCCCTCGAACAAAAAACCCCTAGGCTAAATGTCCCCAGGACAAAAAGCCCTTGCATATTTCAACCCATAGGATAAAACACCCTCGGTGTATATTTTGAGTTGACAGGTGATAACATGATGTTTTCTAAGCCATTCCTCCCACAGCTGATAGTTGTTACAGGCTCGTCAGTGACGACGTTGTTATTTCAACAATGGAATGAAGTCTACTAAATGTTGTGTCAGAGAACTGGCTTAAATTGGTCACTTCCTCTTATGTTTGATTTTGTTGGGCAGGTACTCATTGTGGTGTTTTAATAAACTAGGTGTTTATTAATATGGTATATTAAGATGGTCAGCGCTATTGTTATTTAAATAAATTGCTGATTTCCTGCTACCTTCCTTAAAGTTTGGAATCCACCGGCCGGCTTTTGGCGACGGTGTTCCCAGCATTCGCTTTTGGCTGGTATTCGACACAATATTAGACTGGTATGAACTGTAGCACAAGTATCAACTGCACAACTGCATTATGTGCTTGGTGATTTACATTTGTGAAAGTATGTGCTAGAAATTTACGACTATGAATATGATCGCTCATATTGCCAAGTAATATAAACATAATATAGTGTTAGACGACATACCTTTGTATAATTTAATGTCAATAATACACTTTTGTCATTCTGAAGTTCATTGTTGTCCATATCGGACGACAGGCAGCCATTGTGCACAACTTGGGGATTTCATATGTTTACGTTCGATTTCCTTCAGATCAAATTACGGGCGCACAGCACCTGTCACAATCTTACACATTGTCAACAGCCTATCCTGTGTTGCGATTTGGCGTGTGGCTCGTGAGAAATTATGTCATTACAAAATACCACGGAAACGTAAGTACCACGGAATCATATGACGGCATGGTTACATATGCTATTTAATGTTATATTATATTGTATTCATGTGGGAATGAAAATAAAAGATTTGTTGGTATTCTATTACATCTCTTCATTGAGGACCTTTTGTCCTACCCATTGAGGGCTTTTTGTCATGGGGGCATTTAGCCTGGGGGTGTTTTGTCTGAGGGTATTATGTCCTTGTGGGCCTATTGTCCTACCACAATCGGTCGAACAGGGATTAAACACTTTGATTCAGACTATATTGTGAATGGAGAGGAAAGGGCTAACTTTAACGAACCAGTTATCTTTACATGTGGCATTTTGTAACATCACACATTGATATTTAGGTAGATATAATACTAATCTATGGATTTAAACGCAAATCAGGATAAAAGTGTGAGGTTTAAGTTATTTTTGACAGCACGGGCCAAGCCGGGCTGAACAGAGACTAAACACTTTTGATTGAGGCTATGTTGTGAATGGAGAGAGAAAAGGGCTTCACTTTAACGAACCAGTTATCTTTACATGTGGCATTGTGTAACATCACACGGTGATATTTAGGTAGATATAATACTAATCTATGGAATTAAACACAAATCAGGACATATGTGTGGGGTTTAAGTTGTTTTTGAGAGCCCGGGCCAAGCCGGACCGAAAGCATGACTGTGATACTGTGTGGCTGTTGAGAATGTATAGAAAATAGGGCTTCACTTTCAAGGCTTTGAGACTATATAAAGACGTACGTAGGTAGATATACCGGTAACTCTTTTCGTTGCTAGGCACCACCAACACCATAACCAAATATTTATTATTCAATCATTTTTCTGAGTGTAATTTTGTTTCAGTAGTATTCTTTTCTTGTCGGATTTTTTCAAATATGTATCCAGCTGTATTGGAACCGGGTACTGGAGCGGCGTTTATATAAGTCACTTGGCTTGTTAGCCTATCCAGGTTTCTGTATTGACGAAATAAAAATATGTTTAAACCATATACCGGTAACTCTATTCTAGAGATATAAACAGCAATCAGGATACATGTGTGAGGTTTAAGGTGATTTTGACAGCACGGTCCAAGTCGGGGTGAACAGTGACTAAACACTTTTGAATGCGGATTTTGTTTTCCGAGGACTTTAGTTTCCTAAATCGTTGGGAATGGAGAGAGAATGGGGCTTCACTTTTACCTTACTTTATGAAGTGGTATTCAGGTAGATATAATACCATTTTGTGTTTCATGTGTATTAGTAAATATAAGCATAGGCATACGCACTGGCTATCTGATTTAGGCTGGTATTATTTACAATGAAAACACATACGAATTTTTGTGTTTGTGAATGCATACTTTGTTTGATCCTTTATAACATATTACAAAATTTTGTGATTTCAAAAATTTCTTTTAATATACATAATCATGTCGTATTTGCCCATTGACACTCGCCGATATCCACGTCTCTTTAACATAAACATCCTGTGCAGATTCAGCCTGAGACAATAAAGGTTAATTAGGGAACCCCAATATCTTAAATAAGGAAAGAAAAGTAGTCAAAACACTATCACTTCGTGCTCAGGACTCCCGGATGTCACGAGGTGAGAGAAGTAAGAAGCTTCCCCCATTGACATATCAAGGAAAACACATAACAAAAAGACGGTGTCTTTTCTACGGGAATCTCGGTATGTAGACTTTGTTGTTGTGTTGGTCTTTTAATTATACATTTTCAATCAAACTATGCATTTGTGAAGGCAGGAAGTGTATCGATCCGAATTCGCAAGTTTCGTTTTAATATTCTGCAATCCATTTTTAGTATTACCCGGTGACCCGCCCGGCCCGACTTTTCTTGGCCCCGACTTTTAGGCCATCCCCTTTCACCTGTTCAGTGTGTGCTGCCGTCATAAACTCTAATCTGACACAGTGACGATGGGTGTTATTTTCTCACGATTCATGTTCTTGTACAAAATACAAGATAAATAGCACCAATAATGGTTGCCATGCAATGTCGCTGGGAGATTCATCTACAGCCGCATATGTCATCTTTACAGAACACATTTCAGGTGATTGATTGGCTTGCCTGTGTTTGTGACAGATGCCCGCAAACAGCACAAATCCCCCTTTCTCGGTGTTCTTGCATCCTTGGGATCATCACTATTTGATAGCGATTCACAAACATACGATTATGGTTAAGTCAGCATTGCAGCATGAACTCGACTTTGAACAAAGAGTACAAAGGTTTATTTACACAGTGGAAGATGCTGTTTTAAAAACAAAATTGTCAGAGTTGAGACATTATGAAAGAAAACAGACTTATAACAGGAATGATGAAGGAAATATTATTATTCCTGACAAAGTGTCACTGTGCATTTCAATGGCATTCCCAACCCACTAGGAAGTAGTGAGTGAGTGAGATGAGATTTACGCCGCTTTTAGCAATATTCCAGCAATTCCAGACACCAGCAATTGGCTTCACACACTGTACCGATGTGGGGAATCGAACCCGGGTCTTCGACGTGACGAGCCAACGCTTTAACCATTAGGCTACCCCACCGCTTCCTCACTGGGCGTGGGGGGTGGGGGGTGGGGGTAGCCTTGGGGTTAAAGCGTTGGCTCGTCACGCCGAAGACCCGGGTTCGATTCCCCACATGGGCACAATGTGTGAAACCCATTTCTGGTGTCCCCCGCCGTGATGTTGCTGGAATATTGCTAAAAGCGGCGTAAAACTCAGTCAGTCAGTCCTCACTGGGGAGTAGGCAACCAAAGCAGCAAGTAAGGCATTAGAACAACTGAAGTATTTACATTAGCATTACCATCTGGACACAACTACGTACCCGGTCCTCTTTCGATTTGCATCGATACATTTTTACTGACGATACGATACGATACGATATCGACTCCTATTTTGAAACTTTATCGATTCAAATTTTTATGCTATAACCATCTCCTTCAAAGTCGTGATAGTAAAATTATACGAGACCGCTCCGATAAATAGATGTAGCTAGCTTTACTTAAAAAATAGGTTGGAAACTAACAGCTTTTGGCTAGACTATTTTGACGGACCAATCAGCGAGCGCGTACGTTGCCGGTAAGATAATGCTATGAAAAGGCGCGAAAATTATGTATCGCGATACGTATCGTATCGTGACCTTAAAATCGTGATACGTATCGTATCGTGAGATTGGTGTATCGTGACACCCCTAGTTAAGGCGTTATCACATGTTAGATCAACTGTGTGTGGCAGGACTAAAGCCCTCGAGAGTCTCAACACCAACAAGAACCACTAGACTGTACGTGTCACCTGGCTATGGCTGTTCTGGTCACGGTGACCTTTTTATCAATATCCTGAAAACAATGTCATGTTTACTTTAATGGCAGCTGTACCACGTGAATTGATTAAGTTACATGAGTCAGTGTCACGTTTGCGCCTATGAGAATTCAGAAAAAGACGACTTCCACACCAGTACAAGGAACCTGCTATTAATGGGCTGTAGCAGATGGTACAATACCATACAATATTCGAATGAAATAAAAGTCTCACAAAAGCCTCTCCCGGGCGGTGCGAATGTTTTCGATTAATAATGTGTGTGATATTCGAGGAAGAATTATTATTAACAGGTATTGTTCAGATATATTTATTTGATATAACAGCTTCAGCTGTTGGAACAATTGGGTCAGTGTTAAAGATAAATGTAAATGTAAAGATGAGCCCCATGGAATTTGTAATCACGTCAAAAATTGAACATTGTGCAATATAATATTGATGTGTAAATAATACTTTAAACTAAACTAATGTTCATTTGACAGATTTTCATTTGACACATCCAACAATGTAGTTTTTAAATGCAAACGTTATCGCTACACGCGACACAGATGGCCATATACAAACGAACGGATTGCTAGATACAAATCTCGTACGATAATTATGGTCACATTTTATTCATTGCAATAATACGCGTTCATTCTTAGTTTACAACTTTACTTTGTCAACACAGCTCCAGGAAATGAGATTATTACAAAAACTGTAATTATTTATAAAGTTTATCTCCTCTACTTCAATCTGTGGAAGAACCATTAACACTGAATTCTCCCACAATTCTTCAACAATCACTGCACCTGTGAGACAAGACATTATATGTCTGTAATAGCCGACACAGCTGCTGCTTACCACGCTGACTGACGATTGATTAAAATGGAGATATTGTATTGTGCATTGTGGCCCATGTAGATGCTGGATACAAGTTCTTGTATGTTGATGTTGGGGCAGAGGGTGGTGCTTCAGATGGAGGGACATGGAAAAACAGTACTTTGCACAAAGCTGTCGAGGACAACCGAGCGGGACTGTCTGGACCAGCTCTAGTCCCTAATGATGACAAGCATGTGTTATATCATTTCGATGTCTATATTTGGGTCTTTGCAGTGACATTCAGCCAATCCTTCTGCTTCAACGACCCGAAATGTATTATTTATAAAATAAACTGTGATTGTGGACAAAGCTACATAGGTGAAACATCCCGACCCATCAACGCCCGAGTCAAAGAACATCGCACCTCGGTTTCCAAATCCGACGCCAAATCAGCCATCTCTGAACATATCAAAGAAAACCCCAATCATCGAATAGAGTGGTCCGACATCACCATTCTCGCCAACAACCAAACGGACTTCACTAAACGCAAGCTCACCGAAGCCATTCACATCAAACGCCATAAGCCCACCATCAACCGTGACCAAGGATACTTCATTCCATCAGCTTATGATCCACTCCTCCACCAAGCCCAATCTATTGTATAAACAACGCACCTATTGTATAAACATATCATTGTGACTACTCCTGTATTTATACATCCCTGGCTTCCATTCACTATCCTTTGTGTACTCACTGGCTTCACCAGCTTACCGCTTAGCCAATTATGGCAATTATGTTGTTTCCTTTGTCTATTATGTTGTTTCATTGTTATATACAGTATAAATATGCAGCCCCTACACTTCATGTATCACTCCTGCTTGACAACGGTACAAGAATCTGTATCGAAACGTCGCACTCACGAAATAAAGAAGTTGTTATCCATAAAACTTGTTCTATATCCTTCTGCTTCTTATCAAACAGCTGGCGGGTGCTGCTTAAAAACTTCGGCAAGCTTCATGGTTCCCTCATCCGTCCATTTGTAGTCCGGCATTTCTTTCTTGCTAACCCTGATTCCTGTTTCTGTTGTGTTTGGGGCTCTTCTTGGGGCTCTCGTTGAGGTGCAGAAATATCAGTACTTAAGAGGGAGGGGGGGAGAAATATCACTCTCACTCTCTGCAACCTCTGTCTTTATCTCTTTGGGGGCGGTAGGGTAGCCTAGTGGTTAAAGCGCTGGCTCGTCACGCCGAAGACCCGGGTTCGATTCCCCACATCGGTACAATGTGTGAAGCCCATTTCTGGTGTCCCCTGCCGTGATGTTGCTGGAATATTGCTAAAAGCGGCGTAAAACCAAACTCAGTCAGCCTATCT